GGTCCTTGACCAACTGGAACAAGCAGAGAGGCAACTCAGAGAAGCTGAGAGCAGCCTGCAAGCTAAGCTGGAGGTGCTCACAAAGGAGAAGGAGGACCTGCTGAACTTGGCCATGGAGAGAGGCAAGGTGCTTCAGGAAAAGCAACGGGAGATCCTTCAGCTAGAGAAGAAGGCGGAGGATATGGAGAAGGCCAAGCAGGCAGCCGAACTACAGTTTGAGACAGAAGCTGCAATGGTGGACAGTAACCTACGAGTTAGAGATCTAAAGCGCCGTCTTGAGGGGGCAGAACAAGCCTACTCGGAGCTCCGGATGCACTTTGAAGCTTACAGGAAGCACAGCACAGAATTGCTGAACAAAGAGAAAGAGTTAAATACCAAACTGCGTCACTTTATGGCTTAATGAGCATAGTTAAGGTTTCCTGTCCATCTTGAAGCCTTCTTTTAAGGAAAGACTCACCTTTTAAGAGATCGGGTGTTTTTTCCTAATGTAGTTGCTAAATATAACATCTTTTATTCAGAGTTAGATAGAATGATCACTCGTGGGTTGTTGCCATTGCTATGTTGACCACTCAGCCCAGAGAGATGTTGAATATTTAGAATATCTTAACAATAAATGTGTCTGGATAATAACGCTTTCCAGTCCGAAGTCGAGAATTTGCATTTAAACCTTCGTGCCATTTCTAACATGTTTATTTTTGTCCCGGAGTCGCTTGGGTTATACTAAAAGCATTTTAAGATGCTGCTGACTGGCCTGCAGGTAGTCCTCGACTTTCAACCATTCGTTTAGCGACTGCTCGAAGATACGACAGGTCTTCACGCACAGGACTGTGGCAGCATCCCCATGGTCACATGATCAAAAGTCGGGCACTTGGCAACCAGCATGCAGTGTCCCGGGGTCATATGATCACCATTTGCGATCTTCCCTGCTGGCTTCTAAACCAGCAACGTGAATGGGGGAAGCCGGCTTTGTTGAAGGACTGTGTGATTCATTTAACAACTGCAGTGATTTGCTAACAATTGTGGTAACACTTGTAAAGTCAGGTGGGACTTATTTAATAACCACCTTGCTTAGCCACAGAAAATATTTTTTGTGGTCATAAGGATTACCTGTAGCCACAATTCTGGATGGAATTGAATTTAGAAGACGGATTTCAGGTGAATGTTAGGAAAATCTTCCTGGCGGTACAGGTAGCAGAGCAGTGGGATTCATTGGGAACACCTAATCCTGGTGGTTGGCACCCTCCCTGACCTGGGAAGGTGACCGGTGCTAGGGGGACAGTTGCCCCTAGTGCTGGTGGAGCGACAGGTGCCACTGGGGCCACTAGCACCACCAGGACAGACAGTATCAATGGGGCAGGAGCTGGTTGAGTGCCTGCTGCTGCTGGATTTGGTGCTTGGAGCCAGAACCGGTTGATCTGGACAATCGCAGAACCTAAACTCCAGGAATTTGTCTTTGAGTAAGTTGATTGCCTGTTCGAGGGTTGCAGTTTGGGAATCCTTCTGGATCAGTTTAAATAGCTCTGCCTGGTAGTGGTCCTCCCTTTCCTAGATAAAGGTAAACGTGTAAAGGTTTCCCCTGTCCAGTTGTGTGCAATGTCATGTGTCTGATTAACAAAACACTTCAAAGAACCTTCAGGCATTTTTTTTAACCTAAAATGCCTTTATTAGTGTTACAGAGATGTCAGCACGGCATGGTGGAAATGCTAAGATCTGAATTTCCCTTCCTTTGCACATAACATTCCAGGCATTTCCCCTCCCCTATTTTGGGGTCATGATTCACATCTTCCAATTAACTTGGAGGGCAAAGATTCACTTCCATTTCTTTTTCCCTCCCCTTTCGCTGTCACCTGATTTAACTCTAAAAATACCAGACAGTTCTGCATATATTGTCAAAACAAGAATATTCAATATTAGCAGCGTTGACATGCAACTCTAGGGGGCAGTGTTCATGTCCATTTCTTAGCTGAGGGAGCCAACATCTCATGACTCTACGCCAGAGGTCATCAACTTTTGTCGGTTGGCAGACCGGAGGAAAAGTGAGGAGGAAGTGTTTTACACATATGTGCGTGTGCGCGCGGGGCCACAAGCATGTGCATGCTGCAAACGAGGTGGGATTAGTCCCCTTGTGATACTCGCTAGCCCTGCCCTGTTCTTGCGTGGCGCAGCACCTTGTTGCTGCGCCCCATGACACAGTGGTGGCTGTTTTTATGCCTTGCAACGTGGCGGTGGTATTTTTTGCGCCCTGCGTTGCAGCGGCGTTTTCGCGCCCTGAGGCGTGGCAGCGATGGCACATTTTCACACCCATGGTACGGCATCCCATTTTTGTGCCCCCACAGCCGTGGCACCAGCACAAGTGAGGGGGTGAGCACACGGACGTGCATTGGCCACCCTGTCCCACAGCCTGTTGGCCGCGGCCCACAGGTTGGGGACCCCTGCTCTACGCCAAGGAGCACAGAACACTGTTACCTTCGGACCAAACTGGTACCTATTTATCTACTCACAACTGATGCTTTCAAACTGCTGGTGCAAGGAATGGGAGTGTACTCCATTGCACGGAGCTCGGGTCTCAAACCCAGGCTGTCAGCTTTCCAGCTGATAGGTTCAGCATCTTTAAGCACTGAATCACTACTCCCTGTTTCTAGATATGTTCAGGTAGAACTAAGGCAGCCATTAGTGTTTAAATTTGGCTTCCTGCATTGCTCCTTTTTTGATTCTACAAACCCCAGGATTTTACAAACAGGAAAAGGAGCAGTGCAACAGCCATAAGGTGAAGGAAGTGCCTTGTTGAGGAGCTAGTTTCCAAACAGGCAGCAAGATGTTTTGAGGAAAAGCTTCTGATATTGAAAGAAAGCTGACAGTGTTTAACTATGGTTCATTGAATAAGCCATACTTTTGCTGGATTCAAACAAAATGCTGAGCTATGAACCACGGTTGACAAATTTAAGAGGTCTTGGTTCCCATCACAGAGGAAAGTCAAAATAATTAAACCAGACTATGGCTTAGAACATAATAGAAACAGAATGTAAGCTTTTAATCTCTGTAACTATGCTTCAGTTATATTCACAGAAAACACTTAGCCTGGCCTATTACTGATCTAGTGGCTGCATTTAGGGATTTCAGTGATCCATTATTACTGGCAAAATTTGATTATAACTCCTGAGATCTTGTCTTCGCTTGCCATATGTTTTAAATATATTTTTACTAAAAGTTTTTTTTTCTTAATATAAAATACAAATAAAAAAAAAGGAAGTGGGATAGAGGAAATGAAGTGATGGAAGAGGGAAAAAGAAATGTATAAAAAAGCAGTAACTTGCAAATTTGTTGGTGCATTCAGGTATGTCAATGAAGTTATAGTATCAACTTTTTATGGAGATTCTCAGTCATCCAGGTCATGGTTGTCCCAAAGACGCTTTTTCACGAGGCAACTGGACTTTCTTGTTCTTCTTTGAAGACATTTCGTTTCTCATCCAAGAAGCTTCTTCAGCTCTCACTGACTCTCCCCCACCATCCAGTCAGAGCTGAAGAAGCTTCTTGGATGAGAAGCAAAACGTCTTCAAAGGAAAGCAAGGAAGTCCAGTTGCCTCGTGAAAAAGCATCTTTGAGATATCAACTTTTTAATTATACCAAATAGTAATTACTAGCCATTTCTATAGCAGTAACCCACTTAATTGTCAAAACCCAAAAGTTGTGAGAAAGATGAAATTTTAACTTTCACTTGCCATATTCCTTAGAAATTCCATTCAGTTCCTATAGCTTTCGACCAGTCATGAACTAACTTTGTCTTCTAATCATAGAGGATGTGTGAAATGAGTATCGTCTAAGGCACAGAAAGCTGTATTTTCAGGATCGGCTCTAGAGCAGAGGTCCCCAATCTTTTGGGTACCAGGGACTAGTTGCATGGAGAAAGGTTTTTCCACAGATCAGATGGAACGTGGTTTTGTGTGCTGCCTGCATTCCACGGATGGGGCTTTGTTTGTTTGTGTGGACCAGCTGCTGGCATCCCACGGGCTGGGGGTTAGGGACCCCTGCTGTAGACATTTTGGGATCCTGAGCAAAGTCCTATTCCAGTGCTCCACATGATTTGGTTCATCTTCCTTTTTTTTTTATTTAACAAGAAACACTCTTGGGTTTTTTCTTCTTCAAATTTTTGAGGTGTATGCTTTCAGCCCTGGGCATTTCCCCCGCCCCTCTTTGAGCATCCATTGTTGTCATGGCAATAATTCTGCAAAATTATATTTGACTCTTGAGCAGGTACGCTGCTATATGAATTATGTCAATGACATTTTCTGGGTATAACTTTGATAGTTATTAAATTCTCTTGCTCACGACCTTCCAATTGTCTTGTTTTGTAATATTATCAGTTTCCTGAGGTACATAGTAGTAATAATTATTTTTCTATGATTTGCAGTGCTTGGTTTGATTTGATCTGAATTGGCAGTTCAATTCCAGTGAACTCCAGGCATTGCACAAAACTAAAAAAAAACCACGTAAGAACAGCTAAACACATCCAACAGACTGCTCAGACTAAAACGCTCTAATAATAAAATCCATAAAACAATAGTCCGCTGTTCACTACCACTTGCCCAATTTTATGTTTTCAAAAAACATACAAAGTTCTAAAGCAGGGGTCTTCCAACTTGGTCCTTTTATGGCTTGTGGACTTCAGCTCCCAGAATTCCTCAGCCGGCGCGCCGGCTGAGGAATTCTGGGAGCTGAAGTCCACAAGCCATAAAAGGACCAAGTTGGAAGACCCCTGTTCTAAAGTAACAAGAAAGATTGTCACACGTTGTACACCCATTGTGCGTTTCACGAGCCACTAAATTTGCTTCACTAAATTTTCTCCGGCTTGAGCGGGGGGGCTGGACTAGAAGACCACCGAGGTCCCTTCCAGCTCTATTCTATTCTAATTTTAAATAGGTTCCGCGTTAAAGAGCAGCCCACCTGAAGCCACGCCTCTCCCCCTGCCGGACTTCTACTCCCAGAAGGCACAGGAAGAGCGCCGGAGCGTGCGCAAGCGCAGTCGCGCCGTAGGCGGTTGGGGAAGGCCGCCGCGTGAAGAAGGACGGGTGAGGCCGGCGGCGAAGGTGGGCGCCGCCACCGCCTCCCCACGCCCTCTTCGGAGAGAGCGGCGCTGAGGCGGGCCTGACCGGAAGGCCTATCGTTTAATCCCAGCCGGGACCAGGGCACCGGCTCGGCCCGGTCGCTGTTATGCGCCACAGCCTGGCCCAGCTCTTAGCGGCCTCGTCTGGGCAGGGAAAGCCCGGAGAGCCGGCCGCGGCCTGCTCGTTTCCAAGCCCGGCGGCCGAGCGGCGGACCGAAGAGGAGACAGAAGCGGCAGCGATGGCGGCCGAGGACTCCCTGGAGGAGCCGGACGAGGGCGAGCTGCTCTTCCCGGCGGGGCTGGAGCTGGACGCCTGGCTGGAGGCGGCGGCGGCGGTGGGCGGCGGCGGCGAGGCCTCTTCTCCGGCCTGGGGCGGGGCGAGTCCGCCGGCCGAGGCGGCGTCGGCGTCGCGGCCTTCGAGCTCGTCTTCTTCTAGGCCGGCGCGGCCGGGCAGCAATCGTCTGAAGGCGGCGGCGGCGGCGCGTCTGAACCGGCAGAAGAAGAAGCTCTACGTGCAGGGCCTGGAGACGCGCTTGCAAGGCCTGGCCGCCGAGAACCGGCACCTGCGCGACCGCAACCGCGGCCTCTGCCGCCGCCTGCGCGACCTGGAGCGGGAGACGGGCTACTTGCGGGCCGTGCTGGCCAACCAGAGCGCCTTGGGCCGCCTGCTCGGCCGCTTGGCTGGGGACGGAGCCGGCAGCCTGGGGCTTCGCATGAGGATCAGCACCAGCCTCTTCCAGGAGACCGCAGCGGCCGGAGCCTGCGGCGAGACCGGCGACCACGACTACGCGCTCCCGGTCCGGGCGGAAGACCCGGCGGAGGAGAAGCTGCGCCCGTCGTCCGGCAGCCCCGGCGGCGTTTGCCTCCACGTGGACCGCGACCACCTTTCGGTGGAGTTTTGCTCTCTCTGCGCCAAGCGGGCGGCCAGCTCGGAGACTTGGGCGGCCGCTCCTCTTCTTCCTCCTGCTGCTGCCCCCTCCTTCATCTCCAAAATGTAGGGTCAAGTATTTCTACTTCTTCGGGCCTACGCAGAACTTAAAAATACTTCGGGGGTCTCTGCCTGCTTGCCGTCATCCAGGGGGTGCTAGCGGAGAATGCAGTTAGGAGAGAGATACAGACAGACAGACAGAAGAGGAAGAGGATGTAAAAAGAAAACCTAGATAAATGGGGAAAGTGATGATGAAACTGGCTTGTTGGTAGAGCCGCCTTTGCTTTAGTGGAGGGGGAAGAAATGCAAAACTTCCCTCTCTCTTTGTGTTGGAAGATCATCTTGCCGTGTCAGGATGGGGTGGTGTCCAGGACGGCCTCAGTGGTGTTGTCATGGCTGAAATGTTTGCAGGCACACATTGATCAAAAACGGCTCTTGTCACTGAACTGCAGCATGGGCACTCTTGAAAGCAGGTAGACAGTGGTGGTTAAGAATGGGCCCGTGAAATGAATAAACGGTGGGATAGATTAAAAAAAAAAAATCTAGCCCGCTCTGTTGCTTTAAAAGAAGCTGAAAATAAAATGCATAAACTTCAACGTCTTCACTGGAGAGACTTAACATCCAAATAGTAATAATGCACAGCAGGCAGTTTAAAAAAAAAACATGCATGTGAAATTGTAAGGCATCTGTTATACATTACTATTAAACTTTTCTGACAGTTTCTCTTTTAGGTGCTTGCCCTGCCAGGCTTCGTTGTGTAGGGGTTAAAAGAACAGTCGTTTGCCACCTCGCAACCTGGTAAGGATCCATAATATTCCCGTAATGTGGTATCGGGCAGTTTGCATTGGTACTTAGCCTGTTTTTCTTTACAAAAATATTTGGCCTGGCCCAGGAGTTAGAAGTAGCTCTGGAGGCATTTCCTAGAATCAGTTAATTTTGATTAATCAAGTTTCAAGTAATGGCACTACTTTCCCCTGTCATTCTAATTTTTTAGCATGTTCCTGATGAGATACTTGTAGACATTATTTTATGTAATATTTTAATAGGTTAAGATTATGGGGGGGGGAAAAACATTGCTAAATTGATATTTAGCAATGTGTTGCGTGGTGAAAGGGGAATCAAGACCATTGTTTTTGACTGAGGCAATGTGAGTATATCTTTAAAGAAATAAAATATACCTCAACATTTACTTTAGATCTTGGACTTTTCTAGTGGAGTAAACTACTGAGTTTCGCAGCTTTGACAACCTAGTAATGAGGCAATTGCTATAAAGTTTTCCAGTTTACAAGAGATGGATTTTTTGTCCATATACTTGGCTGTTCAGTTACTATAATAATGTGTCCTTATCTGCAAGGAAGCAAATAAACCGACATTTTAGTAATGTCAGTGTTCTTTCACTACATCGCTGCATGCATTTTGAAGACTACCTAGAAATATTTTAGTCTAGTGAATTTTGTTTAGTTTTAAAAGTCTCATGTAGGTCTCTTAAAGCGGGACCTGCATTTCACTAAACTACTAAAATGAAAGTGGCATGCCAGTTTGAAGTTTTCAGAAATAAGGAAAAAGTAAGTGAATGTTATCCCCCACACATTTATGCAATTGTTCCTATCTAGGGTGAAGGAAGATTTTCTGCTGACAAACTCATGCTGGTTTGGGGCTAGCACGTTTTCCCTGCATCAACTGTCTGTTCTGTTTAAATGCTTTATATTTAAACTTGTGTAAATTGGGGACATAAGGGTTGTGAAATAATGTAAAGTGAGGTTTCACAAAGAATGCTAAACCTGGAAAAATAAAAGAGGCTTCCTCTCGTCTTGAATTAGAAACAGATGAATATTTCTCCTGCGAATGAAATGCAAACTCCTTCAAAATCTGTTGCACTCTATATGTGTTCAACCACAAAATTTTCTTTGTGAAACCTTGCTGCTTAATGAAGTATGTGTATATTTAGCATCCTTGTTTTTCTTTATGCTGAAGTGGATACAGCTGTCATGGGCAGAAGAGACGGGACCAGCTGCTGGCCACCCTTCCTGCTTTATTTTAAAAGGTAGTATGAGAAAAAGGGAGCAAGGTAACAGGGCACTGGCTGCATTTCACTTTGGAAAAAAACACTGAACAGGGTAACGTTAATGTTTTGAGCATCTAATCCAATCTAGCAAGAAATTAAATATACTGATGTGAAAAGTGGCATCATTTAAAAAAAGCATTTGCTTTCTTACTGGTCATTTCATTTATTCCTATTCTGAAATTTACTAAATTGTTCAAACATATTCATGTATCAGATGATTAGTTTGACCACACCTTAAATTTTCCAATTTAAGAATTAGGATTGCTGCGAAGATGATTTTAATTCTAATTGATGCAGCTGTTTACGCTCTGTTGTCACATCTGCTATATAAATGTACATATTCCAATCTCTAAATCAGTAGGAGCATCTACAAGGAAACTGGCAAGTCTTTTCTTAAGGCAGCTACAATGTGGCAGAGAACTAATTTCTTTGCCAATTCATTTTTTGATATTATCCTATACTTAATAACAGTGGCTATTTTTTAGAAATCTTTCTAAATGTAGTAGCCCTTGCCAGATAATAAACTGAAATATAAAAATGTAGATAAGGTGTTTCTCAATTTTTAATCATGCTTCAATATCTTTAAATGGCAGCAATTCATTGTCTATAATTCATTTATTTATTCTCTTGGGACTCAATTGAATTTAGTGATTCCTTTTTTCTATGGTTGATAGCCATGGGCCAAGAGGAAAGATTTGTGACACATACTTGTATCTGTGGTTGTATTCCAAGAAGCAAATGCATTTTTAAATTGCTTTTCACAGTTGTTAATGTTGCATTATTGTAAAATTGAATCTTTTCTTTTGTATGATTTAAAATATTTGTGACATTAAAAAAAATATTCTGGGTATTTAATCATGTGTGCGTTGAAAAATAAACTGTTGCCTTGAATACCATTCTCAGCATAAAGTGAGTGACACATTTGCTTAGCCAGAAGGGAAGACTTGCAGGGATTTTAGTGCCTCTTAAAACATATTCAAGCCAAATAGATCTGCAAACATTTTGTCCTTGTTAACCAGTTGATTGAATATTTCTTGAAATTAAAAGCCTTGAATGGAATACCCTAATAGTACTTCAAAAATATGTCAGTGTTTCTGTGTAAGTAATTCAGGTGTACTTATGAGGACAGCTATTCAAATTAAAAATGTTTATCTTTCAGTCAAAGACTCAAAGCTGTTTTTTTTTTTTTATCAGATCCCTTAATTTTCTATAAAATAGTGGTTTAGCTGGGTGGCTCATTCAGAAATGATTTGTGCGGTGTTATGCATTATAGATTAACCAATATAATTGTATGTGTATTTTTCTGGTTGGGGATGGATTTATATTAGTGTTCAGAGGGTTTTTTTCTGTGATTGATAATGCTCTAGCTGCAGTATTTATTTAGAAAGCTTTAATTTTTCTGTATCATTTTCATCACATGCTCCCAGGATGGTTTACCTAACATAAAAATTGCAGAAGTAAAAACAAAGAATTGAATATTTCTTTTAGTATGGAACAGGCATGTCAAACTCGTGATGTCATGTGATGTCGCATGGCATATCGGGACTTTTCCCCCATTGCCGGCAATGGGGTGGGTGTGGTTTCGGCGTGACGCAGTTTAAAACCACTTATTTTTAGAGATCTTTATACTTCTGATTTTTCAGCCACTATTTAAAAATGTACTTAACACAAGATTAAAAAAAAAACAGTGACAAGGTTTAAACAACAATGAGCAAACCCAGCACTTCTGCATTCACAAATAATTTTGCAAATGTTGGTCACTAAAAAAATTAAGTATGTGCAATGACATACTTCAGCTGTGGCTGAATTATACCAACTCAAAAGTGTACTGTGTGTATTTCCCCCACCTTCCCTGCGAAACAGGCTGCTGATTAAAAAAACAAAAACAAAATCCTTACAGGTAGTTCTCAACTTTCAATCATTCATTTAGCATCTGTTCAGAGTTACCATGGCATTGGAAAAAAGTGACTTATAGCCGGTGCTCACACTTAACAACCATTGGCGTTATCTCTGTGTCACATTGTCAAAATTCAGGCGTGTATGCATTTATGACAGTCGTAGCCTTCCCAGCTGGCTTCTAACAAGCAAAGTCAATGAGGAAATTCAGATTCACTTAACCAGATGATTCATTTAACTGCAGCAGTGCACTTAATTGTGGCAGAAATGGTTGTAAAATCGGGCGCAACTCATTTAAGAACTGCCTTAGAAATTCTGGTCCCAATTGTGGTTGTTAAGTCGGGGACTACCCGTATTCAAAACAAGGTTGTTGCATGATTCCATGCATTCTAATTCTTGATGTGCCACATATTAAAAATGCCTGTCATCCCAGCTTCTCTGGACCTCAAGGCGAACTCATTCTTTTCCCCCATTTGTGTTTTCTTCCTGAAAAAAAAAAAAATGGCAGTAAGAGCCTCCCCCAATTTTTTCTCCCAAAGCCATACAGGCACAAACCTCCCCCCCGAAACCTTTTAGCTAAGCCAGGGGTGTCCAACTGTGGCAGTTTTAAGATCTCAACTCCCAGAATTCTGGGAGTAGAACTTGACACATCTTAAAAGTTCTTAAGGTTAGATATCTCTGAGGTAAGCCTTGTGCAAACTCACATTTCGTTGAAAAACAATTTGGTACTACCAAAACAGCGTTTAGTTTAATTTTGTTCATAGAGTTAAAATTTGAAGCAGCCATTTAAACATTTGGGGTCAGTACTTTGCTCAGTGCTTGATTATATTTATGCATTTGGGTTTTTTTTTCCCCCTGTCAATTCCACGAAGTTTGGTATTTATGGCTGATATTTTTGTCAGTTTTTATAAATACAAGAAACTGCAATACGTTTTATTGACTAGGAGGATGTTCATATTAAGTTCAGACAACGCAGTTTGTTTCAAGAAGCAGGCCCTGGCATAGTCATGCTGACCACATGGCCACAGAAACATGTTTGGACAATGCTGACTCCCTTGACTGAGAAACAGATATGCACTATGGGATTTTGCAAAATGAGTTGCGATTACCTCTGGGGAGGCTTGTTGTCACTTTGAGCTGTTGTTAAGCAATTGGTTGTAAGTTGAAGACAGCCTATATTGTTAGCTATGTTAGCATTTTTTATTCACTGGGTAGGTTGAATTATTGCTGGACTCTTGCATTAAATTGCCCTCCATTTTGTTTTGTATTGTGGAAATAACAGAGGAAATACTTGTCTCTACTCTCCCGTGTATAGATCAGCAATCTAGAAAATATTGTTGAGTGCTCTTCATGCGCTCCGGGAAGGGCTCTATGAATTGGATGCATTCTCAACATTAAGAAAACCAAAATCATGGCATCCGGCCCTCTCAATTCCTGGCAAATAGATGGGGAAAAAATGGAGGTAGTGACAGATTTTATTTTTCTGGGCTCCAAGATCACCTCAGGTGGGGACTGCAGCCAAGAAATTAAAAGACGCTTGCTCCTGGGGAGGAAAGCTATGGCAAATCTAGACAGCATACTAAAAAGCAGAGACATCACCCTGCCAACAAAAGTGCGTATAGTCCAGGCCATGGTTTTCCCAGTTGCAATGTATGGCTGTGAAAGTTGGACCATAAGAAAGGCTGAGCGCAAAGAATTGAGGCCTTTGAATTATGGTGCTGGAGAAGACTCCTGCGAGTCCCTTGGACTGCAAGGCGTTCAAACCGGTCAGTCCTACCTAGAAGAGATCAACCCTGACTGCTCTTTAGAAGGTCAGATCCTGAAGTTGAAACTCAAATACTTTGGCCACCTAATGAGAAGGAAGGACTCACTGGAGAAGGGCCTAATGCTGGGAAAGATTGAGGGCAATAGAAAAAGGGGACGACAGAGAATGAGATGGCTGGATGGAGTCACTGAAGCAGTAGGTGTGAATTTAAATGGACTCCAGAGGATGGTGGAGGACAGGAAGACCTGGAGGAGCGTTGTCCATGGGGTCGCGATGGGTCGGACACGACTTCGCAATTAACAACAACAACATACTTTTTCAGCAGTACATCTTGACATCCCTCCCCAAAAGTTTAACTCGGTGGTTCTCAACCTGTGGGTCGGGACCCCATTTGGGGTCGAACGACCATTTCACGGGGGTCGCCAAACAACGCAGTCCGCCATTTTCCCCCCCTTTTCCTTAGCTGTGCTACTCCCTTTTATTCTATTGGCTTTTGAAAGCCAATAGAATAGACTCTCTTGAATAGAGTCTAATTCTGTTGGCTTTCAAAAGCCAATAGGAATTGTCCAGGCTGTCTCTGCCCTGCTGAGCCCTCCACAAGTCCCATTCTGCAAACGGTGCTGCACCAGTTGAGTAGTCCTCGACTTACGACCGGTTGAGTAGTTCTCGACTTATGACCGGTTGGGGTGTCGCGGCATTAAAAAGGTGGAGAACCACTGGTTTAGCTGTTGCTTTTCTCATTCACCCAGTGTTGTTGGTTACTATCTTGCGGTACAGCAGTGTTTCCCAAACTTGACAATTTTAAGGCATGTGGACTTCAACTCCCAGAATTCCACAGCCAGCAACGCCAGCAATTCTGGGAGTTGAAGCCACATGCCTTTAAATTGTCAAGTTTGGGAAACACTGCGGTACAGCATCAGAGGTTGATCCCTTTAAGATACTTCTAGGGATGTGCGTATGTGTGTGTGTGTCTCAATTTTCCCTTTTTCAATGAAGTTGATATAAATGACCTAAACCAGACTAGAATGTTCAGAAGTTATCCAAATCTTGAAAGAATTTCAGTCAAATAAAAAGCTAAACACCTTTTAAGTTTTATTCTCCGATTTCCTGAGGATCCCTTCCGGGTTCAGGCATGTTGATCATTTTGAGATATATTTCATGATGTCTTGAGCCAAGGTATGCTCCAAGTGCCACTTGGATGAAAGCACCAAACCTCATCTTTTTGAAAATGGGCTTGCTAAGCGCTACCCAGAATCGCATTGCATTCTCTTTGCTTGGCAAGGGAGCAGTATAGTACCTAGAAGAGAGAAAATGTTACGAAGCGTAACTTAGGAATTACAGCTTTGTCGCTCTTTAAAAAGGACCCATTTCCCACTTTAAAACAGACTCTACTGTTGAGAAGGAAATAAATTGCTGACAGCTTCTTTCTAAAATTGACCATCCTTGAGTATGAAGCTAATGTTATAGAAAGGAGGGTACGGGTAGATCTCAACTTGCAACCATTTGTTTAATGACCGATTGAAGTTGCGATGGCATTAAAAAAAGTGACCCGTGACCCATTTTTCACACTTAGTGAACTGCATCCCCGTGGTCACGTGATCAACACTGGCAACTAGCTCATGACGATTGCCGTGTCCCGGGTCAAGGGATCACCTTTTGCAACCTTCCAACAGGCAAAAAGTCAATGGGGAAGCCAAACTTGCTTTACAGACGTATTACTAGCTTAGCAACTGCAGTGATTCACTTAACAACTGTGGCAAGAAAGATTGTAAAACGGGCCAAACCTCACTTAATAACTGACATGCTTAGCAATGGCTCAATTGTGGTTGTAGGTTGAGGACTACCTGTATAAAGAAGGTTATAGATATAGGTGTAAAGCTTTTGCAATAATGGATTTTAATTTTCATTCATCAAGGAGAGAAGCAACCTAGAACTAAGGAGAAACTTCCTGACAGTTAGAACAATTAACCAGTGGAACAACCTGCCTCCAGAAGCGGTGAATGCTCCAACACTGGAGGTTTTTAAGAAAAGACTGAACAGCCATTTGTCCGAAATGGTGTAGGGTTTCCTGCCTGAGCAGGGGGTTGGACTAGAGGGCCTCCAAGGTCCCTTCCAACTTTATTATTATTGTTACTACTACTACAACAACAACAACAACATTCTGGAACCCTGTTCCCTTGGTAGTCCTTGTTTTATGACCACTTGTTTCAGCGACCATTCAAAGTTACATTGGTGCATTTGGGGGATTTATCACAGGACTTTGAGTTCCAGCCATCTGCAGCATCCCCATGGCCATGTGATTGGAACCCAGCTCAAGTTTACAAGATTGCAATGTCCCATGGTCATGTGATCATGATTTCCGACATTTTCTGCAGCCTTCCCACAAGCAGGAAGTTGGAAGCTGCGTAATGAATTGCAGTAACGATTCTGATCCCAGTGGTCCTCATGAGCCAAGGACTCCCCATATTCTTATGAAGTTGAGAAAGCATTTAAATTAAGAAAATAATTTAGTACATAAGACGGGAAGGCACAGAATCCTATAATCTACACGATCGTGTTGGATAATTACATAGAATTAATGCTTACACCCCCATGATTTTATTACACAAAGTTCAACAGTGAAAGATCACCAGTGAATGCTTATATATGAAAACAGATTATCTAACAAAATAGAAGTAATAGATAAATAGGATTTTTGTAATTATGCACAGAAATGCCAGAAAATGGAAGTTTATAATACTCAAAGCACACTGTTTGGTAATTCATTTGGTTTCCAAGCAAATGGTTAATACCATGTTTTCCCCAAAATAAGACTGGGTCTTACTTTGTTTTGTTTTGTTTTTGCCTCCAAAAGAGGCACCAGGCACTGACAGCCCTGCCCAGCTGGTCCACTTCTTCTGCAGCTGAAGGAGCAGCTTCATTCTGCAGTTGTATCCTGGCCTGCATTTTGCAGTCAGGTCTTTCCGGAAGGCCTCTGCAGCCGAGTATCGAGTTATGGATTCAATCCATAGCTCGGTTCTTGGCTGCAGTGGCTTTTCCAGAAATGCAGGCCTGACTGAGAAATGCAGGCCTGGCTGCAGAAGAGGCCACAGAAGAAGTGGGCCGACAAGGAGAGGCCTGGCTGCAAGGTAAGTGGTGCGGGGCGCATGGGGCAGATCCAACCCTCCCCCCAGCTTGATTTTTAAGTGTGTGCCTTACCCCAAAACTAGGGTTTATTTTTGGGGTAGGGTTTATATTAGGCCCACCCCCAAAATCAAGCTAGGGCTTATTTTGGGGGTAGGCCTTACTTTCAGGGAAACAGGGTATCAACAAAAACCCATTTCCAAATACAAGCAAAACACAATCTTGGTTCCTGCAAATAAAACACTAAAAGAATGCTTAATATAACAATGCGGTTGAAACATACCTTGTAGCCAGCAATGCATTCAGAGGCAGTGCGATAATTATGGGGTAGAAATAGCCTATGACAGCTCCTACTAAACTTCCTCTCACCATAGCACAGATTTCACAGTTTAAATTGCCTGAAACAACAATGAACTGAACTGAGTATTTGTGGTTTAAAATCCTTTCCCCCAAAAAATGCAATGGACATGCTGCATGCTGATGATGTTCCTCTTGTGGGATTAGGTATGGAGCATGTGGCATAAAATGCTATGTTCCACGCTCCACTGGAACATTTAAAGTGGCCCGCAATTCCAGTGGAAGAAATGTCTAGATTTGTCAAAGGAAATGTGCAGTCATTCATTCACTGTTCCATAAATTACCACAGCAATCCATTCCAAGTTGTACTACATGGCCTGCATAGTAAATGGCCCAGGGTTATTTTAATTATTTTTAAAGTATGGGAGCAAATCTTTAGGAATGTTAACTATCTTAGCCAGTTTTCTGTAAGTTGTGTAATAAGTAGCTCCAGAATGTGTATCGCCCTTTCTGGTGATCCTAATCAAAACATGAAGGAACATGAAATTGTTTCAGATTTCTATTGCAGGAGAACACTCAGAACAAGTTTGAATGAGATGCCTAACTTTCCTGGCCTTGGATTGGTCTGAACACAGATTATTTATGCGCCTTTAATCAGTTTTTCTCAGCCAGCCCTGGCAACTTTTAAGATGTGTGGACTTCAACTCCCAGAATTGGCTGGGGAATTCTGGGAATTGAATTCCACATATCTTAAAAAGCTGCCAAGGCTGAGAAACAATGGATTAGAGGAACAATACTGTATTTAAAAAGCAGTTTAGTTTGGTTGCAATACTATCAGAAAAATAGAGATTGTCCAAACTACATTGATGCCTGTCTTAATTTTGTTGCTGATGTCTTTTCCAATGCTGCTTTAGTTTTGTCAGTAATTTCTTAAAGAATGTTTCATAAAACGGATTATAAAAGGCTTTGGAAAATACGCATATTGAATGCTTCTGCCTTAGAACAGGCAGAACTTCAGGAGAGTAAAAGCCCAATTCTCCACAAGGTAGCAGAGTAAGAGAAAAGAGTAAGCTTAAGACATGTATCTTCATGTAAAAACTTGAGTAATTTCCAGTAATCTGGTTACCTTGCAATTGAAGTATTGCAAGGTGCTGTACATGGATCTGCCATTGAGGGCTATCCAGAAGCTTTGGCTGTTCCAAAATGCAGCAGCCTCAACAGTAATGGGAGCTTCTTGTTATGTCCATGTATCATTGCTGTTGGGCAAGCTCCACAAGTTGGCACATGGTTTCCAGGCACAATTGAAGGAGCTAGTCATCATGCACAAGTTGACACAAGGCTTCCAGACGCAACTCAAAGTGCTAGATTTTCACGGAAAAGGGCCTGGCTATTTGAGGGCCCATTTGCGTCCAGTCATTTCTACCCATATGAATAGGCAGAATAGGTGTGCTCCAGGTCCAGTTAGTTAACTGTTGTCATCTTATGAGACTCAGAAAGCGTGCCTAGTCTGTTGCAGTCCCTAGTTCTTTATTGAAAAGACACAACTTCTAATAAACAGCATTCACCAAAGACACATAACAATGACCACTCTCAGCATCCTGGATATTTCAAGTTTCTTAAGACATCACTATGTTAGCCTGAATTGGGAGTTTGACCTCTTGTCAAGTCTTTATGAATGCTACTGTTTTGTCTGGGTGGTTGGGTTTCCAACTGTGTTTTTAAGTTCTGTTTTTTAAAATATTGTAAGCTGCTCAGAATCTTTTTGAAAATGGAAGCTTTGAAAGCGGAAATGCATTCCAGCACCCTAACCAAGCATGATAAAACGTTAAGTATTTCGGAAATTATTCTAGGAATTGTACAGTCCAGCGAATGGAAAAAAAGAAAGTTGTAAGAATTGGAGTTGTAACTTTAAAATACAGTGGCATATAAGGTTTATCTTGTCTGGAGCAGTAAGTACCAGGATCTTACTTAACTATTACACACTATTTTACTGTTTTGTGGGCATAATTGAAAGAAAGGAAACTTACACATGGAGGATGGAGTCCAATTTGGCTCAGTGAAGGTAAGGTCTGTGCCATGCTAGAAATATCGGAATAGTTATTACAGAAAACTAAAAGCTTACTGAATTATTTGGATGAAGTCAACACATACCTGTCATCAAAGAGTGTTTTACTATGGCCTCATAACCAACTGTAGTTATGGTGAATGGCATTAAGGACATCGCTGCAACTGTTGAATAACGAGCCTGTGTGACGTGCAGAATCTTCCTAAACGAGTTATTAGATATCAAGGCAAGGAGACTTGAATTGAAGGCGAGGATGAGACCTCCATTTTGGAAGAAACTTCTGTAGAAGAGAAGTTATTATTGCCGCTGCCATCACCAATGACTAGAACACTAACCTGCTGATCAGCAGAGTGCATCACACACTATAGCAAAAGAATAAAAAAAGGAAAGCAAATACTTTCACTCTGAAAGCCTAAACTAGTATAGAATCTCATGACGTATTCATGAGGACTAGCTTCATGATAGGTACATTTTCTATTAAAAGCAATCGGGTCATTAAGTGGGGGCAATAAGACTACAATTTCTGCTGAAGTCTGACATTTTTAGGCAAACAAAAGTCCTATTGAAATGAGCATCCTTTGTCAAATTAGCAGCCATTTATTGCCAGCAGAAAATAAAAGGCGAACACAGACAATAAGCTTGAATTTTGGTCTTTATGCAGCATTTTCTGCTGTATTCTGGAGGCTCAGAAAATAATATTTTCTTAACTATTTGCACCGCATTATCAGGGTGCAGATTCCTGAGTGTCTTGAAAGTGGAACTGTCAAAAGGAAATCCAGGTAATCCTTGATGTATAACCACACTTGAGCCCAAAATTTCTGTTGCAAGCAAGACAGTTGTTAACTGAGTTTTGCCCCATTTTGTGATCTTTCTTGCCAGTCAGATGAATCACTGCAGTTGTGGAGGTAGTAACACAATTGTAAAGTGAATCTGTCTTTCCCCATTAACATTGCTCGTCAAATGATCGCAAAAGGCGATCACGTGACCCCGGGACATTGCAATCGTCATAAAAATGAGCAAATTGCCAAGCGTCCAAATTTTGATCACATGACCATGGGGATGCTGCAACGGTTGTGTGAAAAATGGTCATAAGTCACTTTTTTCAGTGCCGTTGTAATTTCAACTGGTCACTAAACAAAAGGTTGTAAGTCGAGGACTACCTGTACTCAGATATTTGCAAAGTGTTAGTACTCACTGATCTTGTGCAGGCAGTTTTTCAAACATCTTTTCCCAGGTGGCTTCTGAGATTCTTCTTGAATTATTGATCATTTTCTCCATAGGATGGTCCAGAAATTCTTTCCCTGTCATTTTAATCTCTGGAGCATTGAGAAAATAAAGGAGATTAAAAGAGAACATATAAAATAGTATTATAATGCTTCAGTAACGCTTCTTAATAGTATGTTGGATCTCCACTTTTGCCTAAGCCTGAAAAAAGTGCTTTTAAGATTCATTTTCGATTTTCAGCAATTAACAGATTCCTTAAAGCAGGGAGGGAACCTGGAAAATTAAGCTGCTGTAAGGAGCCTCTTGATGCGGGTGAAGAAGGAGAGTGCAAAAGTAGGCTTGAAACTCAACATTAAGAAAACCAAAATCATGGCATCCGGCCCTCTCAATTCCTGGCAAATAGATGGGGAAGAAATGGAGGTAGTGACAGATTTTATTGTTCTGGGCTCCAAGATCACCTCAGATGGGGACTGCAGCCAAGAAATTAAAAGACGCTTGCTCCTGGGGAGGAAAGCTATGGCAAATCTAGACAGCATACTAAAAAGCAGAGACATCACCCTGTGTGTATAGTCCAGGCCATGGTTTTCCCAGTTGCAATGTAGGGCTGTGAAAGTTGGACCATAAGAAAGGCTGAGCGCCAAAGAATTGAGGCCTTTGAACTATGGTGCTGGAGAAGACTCCTGTGAGTCCCTTGGACTGCAAGGCGTTCAAACTGGTCAATCTTAGGAGAGATCAACCCCGACTGCTCTTTAGAAGGCCAGATCCTGAAGTTGAAACTCATATACTTTGGCCACCTAATGAGAAGGAAGGACTCACTGGAGAAGGGCCTAATGCTGGGAAAGATTGAGGGCAATAGAAGAACGGGACAACAGAGAATGAGATGGCTGGATGGAGTCACTGAAGCAGTAGGTGTGAACTTAAATGGACTCCAGAAGATGGTAGAGGACAGAAAGACCTGGAGGAACATTGTCCATGGGGTCGCGATGGGTCGGATACGACTTTGCAATTAACAACAACACGGAGTAGCTTAGAAGTTCATTGTTCCTGTTCAAAGTCTGCAGCACTTCCAAAGTATATATACAAAAATAGGGTGCTGTATGTCAAATTATCACAAAATTGTCTCTTGGCATGCACTTAATAAAACAAACAAAAAAAAATACCTTACCGTGCCATCCCTCTGAGCAACATTTACAAACTACCATTCCAGCAAAGGGCATAAACAACTACAGAGGGCCAGTTTCTCAATATCCCATGTAAATATGTGCTCTGTCCTTGCTCCAAGGAAATTATAGGTTTTACCCATTATTTATTGTAGTGCTCTATTTCAGGGCTTTTTAACCTTTTCACCTACTGTACCACTTTTAGGATATGACAATATCCGAGTACCACCAGTCTCCTAACAAGGTGTCAAAAACTTGATGACCCCCCTACCCAAAAAAGGAAAAAAGTGATAAAGTACAGGTAGTCCTCAACTTACAACAGTTCGCTTAGGTACTGTTCTAAGTTACAATGGCACTGAAAAAAGTGCCCACCAAGCCACAGCCGAGCAAGACACCTGCCTGCCCGCCTGGCAGGGTTCTCATTCCCCTCCCCCGCTACTTTTCTAGGATGGTCGCGTACCACCTGCCAGGCGCCAATGTACCACAGGTGGTACCCGTACCTCTGGTTAAAAAGCCCTGCTCTATTTCCCTTCAGCATGTGGGAAATTCCTGGATCCCCTTTTGATAAGGAAATCATTTTGGCTTGATTCCTATGCAATTGAATATGTAATGAACTGAGAGAAGGAACAATGCTATGGAAATGAGTAGCTAAACTATATCAAAAGTTTCTAATGCTTTCTGATATTTTATTTGCTGGAACGACAGTGTTTTAATGTTTTCACTGTTTTTTTACATTGTAATGTATTTTGTTAATGTTTTTATTTATATGCCACATTTATGAAGGTTTGTTTTTGTTATTACCAATGGCCAAACCAATAACTAAATTGAAAGCTGTCCAGAGTCACTTGACTGAATTTGGCAGCTATATAAATTGAATAAACAGATTTATTGGTAAAAGCCCATTTGTTTGAGAGCATCAGAGAACCAAATAAATTCTTATACACCAAAATCCTGCTCAAAATCCTATTGTTAAGTCTAAACAGCTGAAACCATCTATGCTGGAAAATGAACTGCAAAAGATCTCAATTTACTTTAGTAACTTCCTGAAACACAGGTCAATCAGTCAAAATACTCAGCTCCAATGCCCTACATTCATTTTTTTCTTTCATTCCTATCTAGTTTTATATGCACTGGCATACTGTAAAGATCAGAAGCCCCTCCCTCCCTCCTCTTTATTTTTACTTTGTTTTCTTTACATTTGTGTTATTTTTAAGATTTAATAAAAAATAAAACTGATTTGAAGATGCAAAGTACATGCACATGGACAATGCTTTTAGGTATGCTAAATCACAATTGCCTTCAAACTGCTGGGAAACATTTTACAAAGTGTTCCTAAACTTTTTGCCATCACACCTCCCCTACAAATCCAAGCCCCGAAATGAACACAAAGAAAAACTGAAAACGAGGCCATGAAACTTTGAAAAAGATGGATTATATGAAATTGAATATGTAATGAACTGAGAGAAGGAACAATGCTATGGAAATTAGCAGCTAAACCAGTGGTTCTCAACCTGTGGGTCGGGACCCCATTTGGGGTCGAACGACCATTTCACAGGGCTCGCCAAACAACACAGTCCGCCACTTTTTCCCCCCTTTTCGTTAGCTGTGCTACTCCCTTTTATTCTATTGGCTTTTGAAAGCCAATAGAATGAACTCTCTTGAATAGAGTCTAATTCTATTGGCTTTCAAAAGCCAATAGGAATTGTCCAGGCTGTCTCTGCCCTGCTGAGCCCACCAAAAGTCCCATTCTGCAAACAGTGCTGCACCAGTTGAGTAGTCCTTGACTTACGACCGGTTGAGTAGTCCTTGACTTACGACCGGTTGGGGGTCACGGCATTAAAAAGGTTGAGAACCACTGAGCTAAACTATATCAAAAGTTACAATGTAGCTAAAAAGGTTCTTCTCGCTTCCCCTGGACTCCTGTCTGCACCTCATAGGTTGGGAAACCTTGTTCTAGGGCACAGGTCGGCAACCTGCGGCTCCGGAGCCGCATGCGGCTCTTTGAGCCTTCCCCTGTGGCTCCCAGCCTCCTCTGCCTTTGCAGAGAGAGACAGAGACAGAGAGAGGCAATTGCACTTCCCTGCTTCTCTCTCTCTCTCTTTCTGTGTGTGTTTTGTGTGTGTGTGTGTGTGTGTGTGTGTAAAAAAGAGAGTGCACTCAGTGTTCTCCGAGAAGCTGAAAAGCTTTCTGGGCGGAGCTCCTCCCTTTGCTGCGTCTCTGCAGGAAGCAGGAAGGGCAGGAGAGAGCTAGCTAGCCCAGCTAGGCTGACTCAGGAATTCTGGGAGTTGAAGTCCATGAGTCATAAAAGAGACGAGGTTGCTTACCCCTGAGATTGTTGGAGAACAACTTGAAGGTTGCCAGGTGAGCAGCAGATAGGGGGGGGGGGGAGAAAGAGAGAGAGAGAGAAAGAGAGAGAGAGGGGGGGAGGGGGAGAGAGAGAGAGGAAAGAGAGAGAAAGAAAGAGAGTGGGGGAAGAGGAGTGGCAGACCAAGGGCAGAGAGGGAGGGAGGGAGGGAGACAGACAGAGAGAGACTCTTTTGACATCTAAAATGAAGATAACACTGCATATATCCTTTTTTACCTTTGTGTGTATGTAATTTTATTCTCTTAAAGCATTCTCTTGGTGATCATTGTTTTAATAGTATGGATATTCCCAAGAGTCATATTTTTACTTTTATTTTTAATGTGTGTGTGTGTATTTGTGTGTGTATATACACACACACACAAACTCTCTCTCTCTCTCTCTCACACACACACACACACAAAAAAAAAAACACCTATAATAAAGATAAAAAAGGATATATGCAGTGTTATCTTCATTTTAGATATCAAAAGGGTTTTGCGGCTCCCAGTGTTTTGTTTTTGGTGGGAAACGGGTTCAAGTGGCTCTTTGAGTGTTTTGGGTTGCCTACCCCTGTTCTAGGGCAACAATTGTCATTTCAAGTGAGATGGGCAGCATATAAATTTAATAAGTAAAAGTTTGATTGTTCTCAGGAGCAGAAGCTGACCTCACGTTCCAGTGTTCTGATTTATACTGGAGTTCTTTATCAACCCCAGGGAGATAATCCATACAGATTAGCACAATTTTCCTCCCCGCTATCCCTCCCTCCCTTCTATCCATCCAGTCCTTCCTTCTGTTCATCCACTCCTTCCTTCAGAAGGGATCAGGTTGTTCAGCAGAGCACCTGAGGGAAGGATGAGAAACAATGGTTGAAAACTGATGGAGAGAAGCAACCTGGAACTAACGAGAAACTTCCTGACAGTGAGGACAATCAACCAGTGGAACAGAAGTTGCCTCCAGAAATCATGGACGCACCAACACTGGAGGTTTTTAAGAGGAGGCTGGACAGTCACTTGTTTGAGGTGGTGTAGTAGGTACTCCTGCTTAAGCGGGGGGGCTGGACTAGATGATCTCCAAGGTCCCTTCCAGCTCCTATTCAATACTTCTGTCCATCCACTCCTTCCCACCAACCCACCCCTTTCAGCACTAGGTAGTCGCACCCGATGCAGGAGGATCTAACCACCTGCACTGTTTGTAAGCAGCGCTGCAGCCGCACAAAGTCCTGGTCCAGCAGCGAACCGTCTCGCCCTCCCCTCTTTTACTCAAAGCAACCTCTGCGTGGAAATCCCGGGTTAGAGAGGTTTGCTTGCCATCAGGACCTTCCCCAGTTGGGCAACGGAAGGTCTTGCAGGCAGCCCACCAAGCCGCAGCTAGAGATGTCTTCCCCGCAATACCAATCCCTGCATTGCACCCGCTCATGCCACCGGGCGTTGTTCCTAAGGCCCGCTTGGCAGGAGAGAAGCCAGCCCGGAAGGCCTCCCAGTTTCTGCAAAGGACAACAGACCGACCGTGCAGGGGGAAAACAAAACAAAACATCGGAGTTTTCCCATCCACGCGTCCCGGCCCTTTCCCAGCAGCTTCCACCTACGTTTTATAGGCGCTTCTCTTTCGCTAGCCTCAGCCTGGCCAAGCGGAAAGGCCTCCCCGCTCAGGGTCCTCCTCGCTCAGCCTCACCGACCCGCCACCGCTCGGGGCCCGCCAAGAGCCGAGGTCGCGGCTCGGCTGGGTCACACGCCGCCCGCCGGGGCCGCCATCTTGGCTGGTCACGAGGCCCGGCTCGGATTGGGCGGCTGGGCGAAAGGGGCCGCGCGCGGGAGCCGCCGGTTGGCCCGCCCGCGCTCCGGCTCCTCCCCTTGTCCGGCGGTTCTGAGGCGCGTAATCAGCCGGGCCGGAGTCGGCCGCGCTGAGGTGAGGCGAGGTGGGGGCGGAGGGCGATGGCGGTGGCCGCGGCGGGAGCTTCCGCGGGGGTGAGGCTGGCGGCGGCGGCGGCACTACGGTGGTTTCCTCGCAGATGGAGCTGAGCCGGCGCGGGTGAGCGAGCAGGCCGGCTGAAACCGACGGACGGAGCGGCTTTTCCCCTTCCCGACTACGGAGCCCCCCAATGAGGCTCAGCCGCCAGCGTGGTAATAATCTCTCTGTAAATAAATCCCCCTGTAAATCCTTCTTCGGGGCGGACCCTGGGTTCATCCCTCCGCTTCGTTTGTGGCCCGGACTCCACTCCCCATCGTTCCCAGCCGGCGTGGCGAAGGGGGCGTGTCTGGGAGAGCGGGGTCAATCCCTCCAGCACAGAAGCCCATCCTTCCCAGCAGCCTGTCTTGAGATGTCAGGCTGCCACTCCCCTGGCTCGCAGCCTTTGAGATTGACTGGCCTCCTTCCAAATGGCTTGGGACTATCGGGCCAATGGTAGTCCTTTCTGGATGCCTTGAACTCCCATCCCCATCATCCTGGATTGGCAAAGGTGGGGGAATGGGTCGACACTTTGGGTTGGGGAAGGAGACTTGCTCCCGTGGTCCATTTTTTCCCACAAAGAAAGTTGGGCTCTTGAGTCCCTTATGAAGTCCCTTATGACTTCCTCCTGCCCCCCCCCCCATTTCGACATCCCCATTTTTAAGTTTTTTGTCACTTTCCTACACCCCCCCTTGCAGCTGAATCCCCTTTCCTTATTTCTTTAGCTTGCATATTTTATCCCTCGCTTGAATCTTGCTTCATCCTTGCCTCCATCACTTGACACTTCATTTTTGTCATTTACTCCCACCCACTTTGCAGCCTGCTTAAAGCATCTTCCCACCCGTGATCTTGCCTTCTCACTTGCTGCTTAGCCCCTGCAACCTTTTTTTGGGCCTCCATTTATATACTTCTCTCCTTGGATGAAACATTCACTTATCTCAGGGTTTTTTTTTTCTCCTTGCTTTACGCCTCGGTGAACAGCTTGCTTCACCCAAAGTGTGTAACCAAACTTAGTTAAAGAGCTAGTTTGTTATGTTTTTGTTCAGTTTTTATGGCTTAGCCTGAAGACTCAGCTCTTCTGCAGATTCTGCTGCAGTGCACTGTGCTAATCCAGAAAATGAATTAATTTGGTAACCAAGTAGAGCATTTGAAGTATTCATTTATTTATTTGATTTGTACAGTTGTCCACCTCACTTTTACGTGAGGGGCTCTTGGTGTTCTGTGATCTTGGTTGTTTTCTTGCAGATGTTTCAGTGTAGGTAACATCAACACTTTGTCATCAGTATACTTTTATGTGAGTCTAGGAGACTTAGAATAAAATACATAAATGTACAATGTAAAAATAGAAAATAAAAATAACCACAAACAGCAGGTCATAATATAATCAATCAGCCAGACATCCAGGATGGGCTCTCATCCAGGGTTGTAGACTTGGACACAAAGTCAAGCTTTCAAAGCGTTAACAAAATTCCAACAGGTTTAGGACCACTACTCCTCAACCAGGGACTGTTACTAATCCATGACTTGTTAAGAACTGAGTTGCACAGCTGGAGATGAGCAGCATGAAAGTGAGTGAAGCTTCATCTGTATTTGCAGCCACTCCCCAGCGCTAGGTCCACCTCAGCTCATCAGGCATTAGATTCTCATAGGAGCATGAATCCTACTGTAAACTGTATGTGAGGGATCTAGGTTGCGCAGTCCTCTTCCCCTCCCCCTGTCCGTGGAAAAATTGTTTTCCACAAAACTGGTCCCTGGGGATCACTGATCTAAAGGGTGGGTGTTATGGCAGAAAAGGATCTCCTCTCAGCCCCACCAGCTGATACTTCGTAGCTGACAATGCGCAGAGCATGTGTCTCCTGCCACTTCAGATAGGATGGGTAGAAAAGATCAGTTCAGTTCTACCAGCCGGTTTCAGTTCACCTTCTCTGTGTAAACCTTGTCTAGACATTGACCCACCTGTCTCCCTTGCTTCTGATTTCAGTCCCATCATGCTGATGATTCTTGCCATTTTCTTCCTCTGCATATTTCTCCATCTTTCATTTTCTCCCCTGATGCACCCTGACTCACACAGAAACTAATTTTCATGTAGTCTGTTGCTGTATTCATATTCTTCTCTATAACTCACCTCTGCTTCAGGAGCAGTTCTTTCCTGCCAGTTTTCCTTGCTGCCTCTTAAAATCATTTTTCGGTTGTCTCTCTATATATGCCACTGGGCACATCCAGCCTTTGCTGGGGCCTGCTGATGTAGGATACTTTCAGATTTTGGTATCCGATTCATTTTCTTAATGGTCCTTCATTCCACGTTGAAAATGCACACACATTGCATATTGCAAGGCCTCATTTCAACTTCTCTTTTCCCCTCCTTTCTTATTTTTGCCCATCTCAAACCTGCCAGGGTCTTTAAACTTTGTCATGCCTCAGTTTTTACGCAGCTGATTGTTACCCTTATGTGGAGATAGTGCACTGGTTCACATAGCCTTCCAATTCAGCGTCTTCAGTGTTTAATAGTGTTCCTTCTTCATTTTGCTGCTGGTGCTGAATTTTAGACTGCAAAGGATGCTCCTGAATGTACAGGACTAAAATTCTGGCAGGGCGTTAAGAACATCAAAGGAGCCTTTCTCCAAATCCCAAGGGTGAAGAGATTGTACATTTTTAAAAGCGCATTTCTTTTTTAGTAATGTCATCACTGCTCTTGAAATTCTCACCCAAGTAGCACTACATCTGTGGGGGATTTAAACCGACTGCTGTGTTTCCTAATTATAGTAATGCCTTTCCAGTTTTATATAGACAAAAGCATCATTTTTAGACCTTTTGTGGCTGAAGGAATACTTTTGAGGTTTTTCAAATAAAATTGGTAGTCCTCCATTAATGATTGGGAACTCCGTCCCTAAGCGATGTACTTTCATGCTGGTAGCTCCAGGCAGTTCCAGTTGTTGTCGTTAAGTGAATTACAGACATTTGCCAGATGACCATTGCCAGGTGACATCTTGTGATTGGCATCTGTGACCTCCTGCTGTTTCCCCATTGACTTGCTTGTCAGAAGCCAGTAGTGAAGATCACAAATACTGGTCACATGACTGTGGGGCACTGCGACTATTATAATGGCGAGCTGGTTATTGTGCCCTTCAATCATGGTTACATGATCATGGGGACATTGCAATGGCTGCAACTTTGAGGATTCTTCATGCAGCACCGTTGTAACTTCAGACACTGAATGATTGATTATGAATTGAAGGCTACCAGCAAATAGCTGCCCATTTGTTCTCAGCTCAGTGTTAACTCAGCCCTCAGAAGTATAATTCTTCGCTAGATTCTTTCTTTTACAAATCTTTAGCATAACTGTATTTTTATCCTTACGTTGCTTCCTAGATTGTTTTGTGCTGTTGTTCAGTTCTGAATCTGATTTCCCTTGAAATGCCTTCTTCTTTTTCATTTAGTTTTCTTTCATTTGTCCCAAAGATGCTTTTTCAAAAAGCAATTGGACTTTCTTGGTTTTTCCTTGAAGACATTTCACTTCTCATCCAAGAAGCTTCTTCAGTTCTTGACTGGATAACTGAGAATCTCCATACATCAGTGGTTCTCAACTTGTGGGTCGGGACCCATTTGGAGTCAAACGACCATTTCACGGGGGTCGCCAAACAACGCAGTCCGCCATTTTTTCCCCCCTTTTCCTTAGCTGTGCTACTCCCTTTTATTCTATTGTCTTTTGAAAGCCAATAGAATAGACTCTTGAATAGAGTCTAATTCTATTGGCTTTCAAAAGCCAGTAGGAATTGTCCAGGCTGTCTCTGCCCTGCTGAACCCACCAAAAGTCCCATTCTTCAAATGGTGCTGCACCAGTTGAGTAGTCCTCGACTTACGACCGGTTGAGTAGTTCTCGACTTACGACCCGTTGGGGGTCGCGGCATTAAAAAGGTTGAGAACCACTGCCATACATTCTCTTTCATTTCCAGTCTTGATTTCCTTGTATATCCGCTGTCCCCTAGTTAGGGCTTGAAAGTTTTAATGTACAAGTTTCATTTCTTTCTTTGTTTAATCACATTTGTATAGCTGGCCATTTCACACAGTGATTCTGGACAGCATACAGGTTATTTTTGTTGTTTTTTAACACAGTTTTTTTTTTTAAACAGGACGGTTTTCTTCATTTCGTTTTCCCCCCTGCCCAAATTTTTTTTCCATGCAGCTGTCAACATTTCAAAAGGATATTCATTTTCCAACTTGTAATTTGTTCTACTCTCACTTTTTAGAGCTTATCCTTTGGTTCCTAATGCAAATGCTAAATGTAGTTGTCATTTCCCAATGTTTTCACATCTGTTTCTGTAGAGAGCCTTAGTGGTGACCTTGGAAAAACTATGCAAAAATGGTTACCAAAACAAAAGCACGTTCTAAGCCAGAAAAGAGATTTTAAAAATGATCGAAGGATGCCAGTCTACATCCCTGCTTTTTTCCCATTTATTATCCTCATCACACCCTGTAAGATGCCTATTGTAGAGAATCACAAAGTTGATCTTGGAGAAATATATTTTTTTTAAATTTTAATTTTTTATTCTGCCTTTATTATTTTTATATAAATAATTCAAGGTCGCAATACTTTATCTAACACTCCTTCCTCCTCCCATTTCCCCCACAACGATAATGTTGGAATATTCATGAGCAGGAAGAGTCATGTGGTAACTCAGTTAGCCAATGTGAAGAAAGTGCTACTGAGTCTGTGCAAAAGAGTATTGAGTTAGGAGCTGGATTTCCAGTCTCAGGTTTGTCTCTGTATCTCTGTGTAAGAAGTCTTCAACTGAGCTATGTTGCTGTAAAGAACAATGTATGGTATTTTGATATATTTATTTATAAATATTTTGATATAAATATAAAAAGTTATTTTGAATCAGCTAAATGCAGTCAACTGTGAGAGCTTCTGATTTATTTTTCACCAATAGAGAAATTAAAATTCTCTTAACAGATAATCCTGTGAGGTGAGCTGAACTGAAAAAGAGTAACTAGCCCAAAGTCACCCCGCTGGCTTTCATGTGTAAGGCGGGACTAGAACTCACCATCTCTTGGTAACTGGCCCAAAGTCACCTAGCTATCTTTCGACCTAAGGTGGGATAGAACTCACCTAGTGACTGGTCCAAAGTCACCCAGCTGGCTTCCATGCCTAAGGTGAGACTAGAACTCACCATCTCCTGGTGACTGGCCCAAAGTCACCTAGCTATCTTTCAGACCTAAGGCGGGACTAGAACTCACTATCTCGTGGAGATTGGTTCAAAGTCACCTAGCTATCTTTCAGATCTAAAGTGGGACTAGAACTCACCATCTCCTGGTGACTGGCCCAAAGTCACCCAGCTGGCTTTCATCCCTAAAGCAGGACTAGAACTCAGAGTCTCCAGTTCCTAGCCTAGTGCCTTAACTACTACGCAGAGATCTATGTAGAGATTATAGGTACAAAAATAAAAGCATTGCTTTGAACCTGGGAAACGGAAAACCTGATTCCCTAAAGCAGGGTTTCTCAACCGGAGTTCCATTGAATCCTAGATTTTTGTGAGAAGTCGCCAGGGTTCCCTGGGAGATCATGATTTATTTAAAAAAACACAAACAAAACGCTCCAAACTTCAATGGTGGGTTGGCCTGCTGGAGTGTGCACAGGCCTGGGAGGGCTGCGTGGATCGCACTCGTGTGCAAGCAGGGTGAGCAAAGTGCGAGTCAATGAATCAGGAAGAGAAGAATGAGATGAGAGACGAGAGAATGCGCAAAAGACAGACATCGTGAGGCTTCCCTGTTTTTCTGTGGATGCAACACCCCTGGGGCTCCATCTAGGTTAGGTATATGACACCTGAGGCTGGCCTGGCCTGAGCTGGGCACCAGTGGCAGCAGGAGCCACCACCAAGGGGGGAAGGAGGGTCACTAAACAAATGGTTATAAGTTGAGGACTACCTGTACTCAACCTAGAACTAATGAGAAACTTCCTGACAGTTAGAACAATTAACCAGTGGAACAACCTGCCTCCAGAAGCGGTGAATGCTCCAACACTGGAAGTTTTTAAGAAGAGACTGGACAGCCATTTGTCTGAAACGGTATAGGGTTTCCTGCCTGAATGGGGTTGGACTAGATGACCTCCAAGGTCCCTTCCAACATCATCATCATCATCATCATCATCATCATTATGGATCATCGCACAGTCAGCCAGATGTTCAGACTGGATTTGGCATTTTGTCTACCTATCGAGTCCTTACCCAGGACCTGGGATAGGCAGATGTGGATGTTTGATGGTATTACAGATATCGTCGCAGGATGGAAGCAGTTCCTAATAAGGCTGCCTTTTGCAATTGACTAATAGCGAATTTGTCAATGCCAATGGTGTTCAAGTGGTGCTCCAGTTGTTTTGGGATTGCACCCAAGGAGCCTATGACTATTGGTACTACCCTTGCTTGCTTTTGCCACAGTCTTTCTATTTCTATTTGTAGGTCTTTGTATTTTGTTATCTTCTCCAGTTCTTTCTCTTCTATTCTGCTGTCTCCAGGCACTGCCACGTCCACTATCCAGACTTTTTTGTCTTTCTTATCGACAATTGTTAAGTCTGGGGTGTTATGTTGCAGGTGCTTGTCTGTTTGAATTCTGAAGTCCCAGAGCAGTTTAATTTTATCATTTTCTATGACTTTCTCTATTTTGTGATCCCACCAGTTTTTGCTTACAGGCAAATGATATTTTTTGCAGATCTTCCAGTGCACCATTGTTGCTACTTTGTCATGCCGCTGCTTGTAATCAGTCTGTGCAATCTTCTTGCAACAGCTTACCAAGTGGTCCACTGTTTCTTCAGCTTCTTTGCATAGGCGGCACTTACTGTCTGTTGCTGTCTTCTCAATTTTGACTTTGTATGCATTTGTCCTTAAGGCTTGGTCTTGTGCAGCCAGAATTAGTCCCTCGGTCTCTTTCTTCAATTTTCCTGCTCTTAGCCATTGCCAGGTTTTATTATTATCTGCTTTCCCAGCTATTTTTTTCATGTATTGGCCATGTAGTGCTTTGTCTTCCCATGCCTCTATTCTGTTCTTCACATCATCATTATTATTATTATTATTATTATTATTATTATTATTATTATTATTATTATTATTACTTTATGGCCTGTTTTATTCTCCTTTCACGTTTATTTAATTTCTATAGCCGCCCATTTCAGACGAGCAACGGTGAGTGGCAAGCCATCATAAAACAATCACAACACAGGTAGTCCTGGAGTTAACGACCACAGTTGAACCCAACACTTCTGTTGTTGATAAGTGAGTTTTGCCCCATTTTACGACCTGTCTTGCCGGATTCACCATTAAGTGAATCCCTGCTGATGTTAAATTGGCAACAGGGTAGTTAAGGGAATCTGGCTTCCCCATTGACTTTGCTTTGGAGAAGGTCACAAAATGACCCCGGGACCAATGGTGGGATTTAGCCGGTTCGCACCACTTCGGCAGAACTGGTAGCTAATTTTTTGTTGCCCAAGCCCAGAATGGACTTCCAGAAGTGGCATCTACACAGAGAACCAGTTGCTCACATATTTGAATCCCACCACTGCCCGGGACCTTGCAACCGTCATAAAAACAAGTCAGTTGCCAAGAGTCTTAATTTTGATCACATGAACCACGGGGATGCTGCACCGGTTGTAAGTGTGAAAAACAGTCAGAAGTCACTTTTTTTCAGTGCTGTTGTAACGTTGAATGGTCACTATGCTAACTGTTGTAAGTCGAGGACTATCTGTATAATAGAGAGATAAATGTATATGGCAGCCAAGAAAAGCTCTTGATTTCATTGTGGGCAAAACTGTTCTTAAAACTCTTCTCTCTTGGTAGGTGGCTGCCGCTCCTGAGCTAAGCGTGAAATGACCGCAACTCAGCCATCCCGGCGCCCTGTTGTTTGCTTCACCAGCTTGCCCTGTGAACAGCACTGTCGCTTTAATAATTCCATGTCAAGGGATTGTTTTCAATCCTCTTGGGTGTAATACAAGAGGATCAGAGGGATGTTACAGACCAGAAGGTTGGGCGGAGAGTACACAAATGAAAGTGAGGGCTGTGCGGGTAACCAACTGAAACTTCGGAGCATGGTTGCTAGTATCCAGAAGACCAGGATGTCTGTCTAATGGAGAAAAAATCCTTGTGACCGCATCAGGAAGGGGAGAAAAAAAAATCTCTTTGAATTGCCTCCAGCTTCCTTTGAATTTTATTTGGATTATTTAAGACGGGGTTGGGCGGTTTTGGACTGTGGAATCCCGAGATTGCCAAGGTTTTGGACTGTGTGCCTTAATTGCATTTTTTTTGACATTCACTCAAACTTCTGAATACAATACAAAAACAATCCTTTGTGGCTAGAAGAGGGATTCTTAAGACACTTTTGTAAACGGATGTGTGTTTTCTCCGATATATTTTTATAGCTTCAGAAATACTTTACGGATTTTGACAACTGCCTCGTGGCAGGAATTCTCTACAGCTCCCCTCCCTGTCTTGCTCTTTTCCTGGTGATGTTGGAAGTTTTTCACTTGAGGAATTACGAGCATTATTGGAGGAAAATGAAGCAATAAGAGTCCTCTTTTTTAAACTGAACCATTTTGAGTGGGACGGCAGACTTCTGACTTCCCAAGATAATTCCGGAAGGAACTCTACAGTAAATAAATTTGCATCCATCCAGCGCCAGAAGTTAACAGCAAGAATGCCAGTGAAGAAGAAAGGTGGGCTATGAGGGATTTTTGGGGTCTGTCTTTTGAACATAATTAGATATGTGACATAGGCCAGATATGTGACATAGGCCAGATATGTGACATAGGCCATTTTCCACTGAAAAGCATTTGAATGAAAGTGTTTTTCGGTGGAGAGGGGAAAGAGAATTGCTTTGTGCATCTTTGTTTACGTGCAAAAAAAACTTAAAAAACTTCCAATAAAATTGTTTGGAAACCTAGGATCTCACATTTTGAGTTCTTAGAGAGCTTTTGATTTTTGTACTGCTGGAGTAAAGGGAATTGTAGGGGGGGGGGAACAGCTCCAGTTACTTTATCTCGGCAATAATTCCAGCATAAAAATACATAAATATAAATGATACCGTATCAGCAATACTTTGTTCTGTGGGCAGGATTGATGGAAGAACTCCCGGATAGATCTTAGTTTACAAAATTATGACTTTAACTGCTTACCGAGCCCAATGTTATTAACTATAGTGATGGTTTTTTTTTTATGGAAGGTGTTTCATTTGGCATTATTTTAGACGTACTCCTGAAACACACAGCCATAACTCTTATTTATTTCTAGCTGTTGTTAAGTCAACAAAATTCATGGGAAACATGAGTCAAACTTCAACACTTCAAACATTAGGTTGAATAAAATTGCTTTTTAAATGTGTCATGAATATTTTTAAAATTCGCTAGTGAAATACGGTTTTATGTTTTAAAAACAAATAGCTCTGAAATGTCCAAAGAATGTCCACTTCATCTAATACAAAATAATAACAAAACTATTGTTCACTGTTAAGGAGATTGTGTTATATGAAAGGGAGAAGAGTTGGCTACTGCATTTTAAATGTACCTTTATTTAATTCCCTCTGTCCTCATTAAAATCCTTGATACTGAGTGTAGGTTTTGTCTGCACCACAATCGTCTTTATCACAATAAAGTTGGTCTGACCGAAACTAAAAGGGATAAAATTTGGCACAGATTAAATATTGTTCCTGGCTTTACCCCAGCCTGTTCTTCGTTTCAGGGTCCATTTTATTTGTTTGTTTTAGCATCTAAAATATTTTTGGCTCTCTGTTTTGGGGTAGAAATATGTTCTGATATTTGCTGGTCTGGAACATAGTTATAAATCAGCGGGGAAAGAGGAGAAAGGAAAGACTATTGTTGCTTTGGGTTATTGTAATTCCTTGACTTGCTGTTCCCAGATAATGCATTAATTAATGGTGACATCTTTATGATTCAGCTTAATCATTACCATGCACCTGATTGGTGTTTTATTGCTGAAAGTAACAGGAATCCACAGAAAGGAAGATAATTGATTGTAACTGCTTATTTGTCATACCCAGTAAGCAGAGGGAGCTTATCTGTCTTCCCCAAATTTCCTTCTTGTCACATTTCTAGATTTAGAAGCGCAAATTCCAAATCTTCGGGACATTTTGGCAGTTTGTAATCTCAATATATTTGGAAGACATCCGGGAGAGGAAGGAAGTCAGAGTGGATTTAACGATTCCTTCCAAGTGTTTGATTCTGTGGAAATGTTGGGACCTGCCATAGCTGTAGCCTCCTGTGCAGATGTAAAGATTTTCAGAATTTGTACCCTGGTGATGAGACAGAGAGAGAAATATTACTGATTTTAGTGCCAGAATGAGATCATGTTAAGGTTGATTGCTTTGAGTAAAATTCCAGATCCTTTTATCACAGGGGTTCCCAACTGGGGGTGCTCTCCTGGGGGTGTGAGATAATATTCCAGGAGGTGCAAAAACTTTCAAAATTATAGTGTATATAGCATAATTTTTTGTAAGGGGTGCGAGAATATATCAGAAACTTTCTAGGGTGCAGGGTATAGAAAAAGTTGGGAACCACTGCTTTATCACAGAGGATGAACTAGACTAGGGGTCCTCAACCGTGGCAACTTTAAGACTTGTGAACTTCAATTCCCAGAATTCCTTTGCTGGCTGAGGAATTCTGGGAATTGAAGTCCACAAGTCTTAAAGTTGCCAAGGTTGAGGACCCCTGAACTAGACTGTAGAGTCTCCAGAAAATAGGATGAACAAAGTTAGAAATTCTATTTTTATTGTATTTCAGGAATGGTTGCTCTAACAGACAGTTGGCCGCTGTTGAACATGTGGGAACTTTAATTCAGGATTCATGCTCGATCAGATTGCAAACATTTCACACTTTGAACAAGCCCGTCTTCTTAATTTGAGTTCTGAAAATGTCCATCTCATTCATCTGTGGTGATTCTTAGCCGTCCAGGTCGTAGTTGTCTCAAAGGTGCTTTTTTCTTCGAAAGGCAGCTGGACTGTTTTTTCCTTGAGGAAGAAGACATTTTGCTTCTCATCCAAGAAGCTCCTTCAGTTGTGACTGAACGGTTGGAGAATTTCTTGCGGTCGTCTGGTCGTTATCTGAGAGTCATTGAAAACTCCTTGAGGGTTTTTTTTCTATGCCCTCAGGACCATGTTAATAGTGCAAATGGGAGTGGAACCTTCTTGGAATTGTTGAAAGGACTGTATTGTAAACAGGAGATAGGTGGTGGTGTATCCCTCCCCCTCTATTGAGAATGTGGCTACAGCATTCTGGACAGAGAGGATCTTAGATATTGTTGGAAGAAAAGTCTTCATCGTGGTCCAGTCCAAGCCGGGGATAAACAACATGGCGACTGCTTTAGAAAGAAGGTTGCAGTTTATTGAAGGGGAGAGCCAGACAGAAAGATGGCTCTGGCAGGAAAAAGCGAACATATGTAGGGAGTGGGTTTTGATACCCTCTGGAGCCTTTTGTCTCGAGTTGTTTCCTGTTCCTGTGGCATGAACTTTGACCTGAGTTGGTGTGCTTTTCTGGTATTCTGATGGTGATGGGTTAATCCTATTATGACCCAAAGGTCATATCCTGCTTCCCTGGTGCTGGGGCTAATGACTCTTAGAGTTTGGGTGAGGTATGAAGATTTTAGGTGTCTTTGTCTTCTTAATCTCCTAGCTTCGACCTTCCTGATGGTTTACATCTGCATTTGTACAGAGCTGGCTTCTGCTTGGGGGAGGGAGACTTGGGGCTATTAAGAAAACTGGGCATGTTTTTCTGCCTCTTTAAGATCCTTTGAGGAAATATATTTTCCTGCCCTTTCAATATTTCCTTCTCTGGGGGGCTGACTTCCCACAATATGTGGTTACAGGTATCTTAGTCAGTTGGAGTCAGTAAACCGCCGGAAAGGATTCCGGCTTTCATGAGGTCATGCGTTTCCATTGGTCGTCCTGTACAGCAAGTATAAAAAGACACTATTGGCTGAAAGACTCTGCTCCTGTGGCTCAGGAGAGGTGGAGACCATTGGACACATACTCCTCCGATGTTCCTTCTATAGAGCTATTTGGAAAAAACATATTCTCCCCATAATTGATAGGTATCGGAAAGTATTTATCTCCAGTGGCTGCTTAAGGACAAGCAGGCAGTGATCACGGCACAGGTGGCTAGATTCTGCGCAGCAGCATTGGGGGATTCGCCAGAACCATAAATAAACGTTTTAGATCTTTTTAATAATCTTTTATAATTAATTTTATTACATGTTTTTATCCAGCATTAGACTATACTGGGGTAGGCAACCTTGGCTCTTTTATGATTCGTGGACTTCAACTCCCAGAATTCCTGAGCCAGCCATGCTGAGGGGAAAGGGAGAGGTTTCCAAGCTGAGCCATGCTGGCTCAGGAATTCTGGGAGTTGAAGTCCACGAGTCATAAAAGAGCCAAGGTTGCCTACCCCTGGACTATACTCAATGTATTTTTATTGTCAGGTCAGTATGATTCAGTTTTTCTGAAGATAGCTAGGTTTTGTTATACTGTCTGTAAAACTAAGCAGACCTTGGTCACCCATTGATTACATCAATAATTGTAATATACTGCTGTGTCTTCTTGTGTTGGTTCTGTTTAATTTTGTTTTATTTGAATGTTTAATTTACGTGTTGGTCTTTGGCTGTAATATTAAATTGGACAGAGAGGGTCACTGGTTTGAAAGAGGGGTCAAAGAAGCCATCTACATTAAGATTGAACAGCCTCAATATTTGCACTATTCAGGTGACCCTGAGGGGACAGATAAACCTCCAAGTGGTCTCAACGACTCTCAGAGAGAGTGCCAACAATCAGATGACTGCAAGGAACATAAATCCTTCCGTTGTCCACCATTCAGCCAGAACTCGAAGAAGCTTCTTGGGATGATAAGTGAAACTTCTTTCTCCTCCTCAAGGAAAAAAACAGTCCAGTTGCCTTTTGAAGGAGGGAAAAAAGCCTCTTTGAATCCATCTCATTTTGTTCAGGTGTTGAAAATCTCTTCCAATTGAATTGAGCTCACTGAATCCCCTAGCAAGGGTCATTCAGATTGGCTCAAAGTAAGGGCAGTCCTGACCCTCCCATGTGAATGAAACATTGTGTGGGGTTTTTTCTCCTCTTGGAGAAAATTAAGCCAGCTTCAGCAGAAACTGTCAGCATGAGCAGATGGGACTCATGCATCCAGGCAGTCACATCTGCTCTTTCTTGCAGGTGCAAGCATGGCAGATTTTTGCCTGTCTGCAAACATCATGCCTGGAAACTTAATCTACAGGAACAATCAGTTCTGCAAACCAAAGAGATTGGCTTATTTTGTTCCTTTATTTGAAGCACAATGGGAATCTCATACCTCAGCCAGCAAGCGATCCTTACTTACCTTTTTAAAGCTAGTCTTAGCTTGGTCAGACCAAAACTGATTATCTATGATTCTTTTTCCCAATTTTGGTTCAACTAAGCAAATACTACTTTTTAATGTCAAATGTAAAAATCTACATTGAATTATAAAATTGGTCTGTGGTTATTTTTATATTCTACGTAGATGTTTACATTTTACATTAACTACGTAGATTTTATGTAATCATATGTAGTTAATGATACTAACTTTAGCTCTACTTTCACATGGAACAAATCTGGCTCAATTTTGTGAGTTTGAGGCATTTTAATGTGAAAATGTTATGGGTAGGGGAGCAAATAATGTGG